TAGTGGAAATGGCTCGTCTCGAGCAAGAACGGAGCCTTCGTTGACAAATACGCAGGGCGGAAGTGCCACTACGCGTTCCCATCGCCTGTCTCTGGGTAGTCCCTTATCTTCCACGAGTCTCCACAGCCTGCCAGGACACTTGAGGATGAACGTATGTATGGCTGTCCTCTCTTTGACGTGTCGTTCAGGTTGCTCCCTTCTGCCAAAGTGTTCAACTTTGATCGTATCCGCGATCGCCGTCAATGGAAAGTCAATGCGATACGTCTGCTTTTCGTGGTCGAACGTGAACAGGATCTTCTCGTGCTTCTCGTCGTAGAGATAATGGACTTGCTGGTCGGTTTTGAATTCTTCGCGATACGTGTTTGGCTTTGGCGTGTATCCCATGGAGAACCACTTGGCAGTCATGTTGATGAAGGCGGGTTTGGGCCCTGCAGCACCGCCACGATGACGTTTCTCCTGTGAGCCAGGTGGGGCAACAGTACGATCAGAAGCAGTAACTGTCATGACGTGGAAAAGCGGGAAGAAAAGAAAGTTTCAACAGACTGAGTTTCCTGGCTTTATAACAAAAAAATATTCAACTCCAGCTTAGAATCTTTGGCGCATTAAAGTGGATCCTCCACCTGCTGGCCACGTGAACCAAGATAAAACTGTAAAGCCCGCTTTTATAATATAATATTGTAGATGTAAAGACGAGACGGATATTCACAAAATGATGGTATAAGTGATGGAAGAGAAAAGAGATAAAGAGACGCGCCCAGCCATCCACAGCCGCCGCGTGGTAGGAATAATTAGGTATGTTGGCAGAGGGATCCAGAGATAACACAGCTCTCACATCGGGATCTCGTCAAATGAGTACGTTGATGACTAGCGGGGCGGTCAGCTTTGTTTTGCGTCAATGTTGGACGATGGTTCGCTTCTTACTATTGAAACATTGGAAGCATGAGGGTTTGTCGAGTCACACGACACCGCCTTGCTGTGATAGTTGGCAGACATCCCATCATCGTGTGACCTAGGAGACGACGACGACGATGACGACGACGACGACGACAGCGTCGATGATGAGGATGTTGCATTCAGGGCGTCCTCGGATTCTTCATCCTCTACCTCTTCAAGCTTTTGTGGAGTGTAATACATGTTGTCTTGGTATGACTGTTGCATATTCCGCGTGCACACAGCCACAATGTCGTTCTGCAACTCGGCCATTTCGACGTCGTTTGGCTATAACGGCATGCAGCTTTAATATCGCCAAACAGAGTGTACAGCGTGCGTGCGTCGCTTACCGGTATATTAATATCCAAAAATGTCAATGTGTGATTCATCTTGATGGATATCGACAGTGCAAGCACACCAGCTATGGTGATTTGCGGATTGCGGGAGAGGTCAAGGCGGGCCAGCGTTGAGTTTTCAGGCAGACACTCAGCCAATGCAATGGCGGCGCTGGAATCCAAATCGGTGCCTGCCAAGTTCAATTCTCGCAAAAAGTGGTTTCTTGACAGAGCTGTTTTGATGCTCTGGATCTAAATATAGGCTGTTTGTTCAGTCTTTGTGTTTTACACGAAACGGCCAGGCTATCAACGTACACCTTCGTCCGATCTTAGCGCAATGGGGTTGTCTGAAAGATCAAGCACTTGCAAATGGTGGTTGGAAAGCTAAACAGTTGGTTTGTTGTCAACAAAGCGGAAACCTTACCAAAAAGGCAAGCTTACCAAAGCCTCGGCCAACTTTGCGCACTCATTTGGTTGGATTTGGCAATCGGTTAATAAAAGATGTGTCAGTGAGCGGTTGTTGTACAGCGCCTGGGCAATGGATGCTGCGGCTTGTTGCAGCGGATTGCCAGTCAAGTCCAACCGCTGTATTCCACGTCGAGGATACTCTCCCGTCTGCCAGTACATTTCGATAGGCTCGTCGTTGATCAACATGGCTGCTATCCACGGCGCGGCGTTTTGCGAAATGCGGTTGTGGCGCAATGAAACGAAGTTTAGCGAAGCCGACTGACGCACACCTCCAGCCAGAATCTCAACGAGAGGGCCTTTGAGTGAGCAGTGGTCCAAATACAAGGCTTGCAACGACGGAGCGATGTGGACCGCATGCGAGAGATAGCGCATAGCCCGTTTGTCGGGAGTGGTGCGAGATAGGTCGACGGATTTGATGGCCCTGGACTGCAGAGAAAATTAATGGGCGGCTCCTCTTTGCCCCCGTCTCCCAGGACTCACTTGGCTAATATAAATAGAAATGTATTTGAAGCCATCCGCTTTGAAGGGATTTCCGGCCAGCTTCAATTCAGGGAGTCGATCGGTGATCAGCAAGCTATGCAACAATATTCGAACAGTCTATAATAGGAATCGAGTGCTGTGATTAGCCACCGCTGAATTTCTTGTCAAACCAATCTTGTTGTGCAACACCCCGTACCTCATCGTTCATGCTACAATTAGAAAGATCGAGGCTGCACAGACCGCAATCTAACATGAGAATGTCCGCGATGGGCCCTGCGTGGCGATAGTCGATCATTTGGTTCGACAGGTCAATCGTCGTCAAGCGTGAGAAGCTTCTTTGATGCGGAGGAAAGGACGCACGATGAATGATAAACAGAGAGAAACGTTTCATTTAGACCTTGATGCGGTTTTATACGCACAAACTCACCAACTGGATCGCAACAAGTCCATGAAACTCTCCAGAGGCTGCTCTTCGCGGAGTCTGCATGCCCGTTCATAATACTTGGGCAACTCTCTGCACCGGCTCTCGTCTGGTTCGTCATCTTCAGAAGACGACGACTGGGATTGTTGACTGGCATCGGTCAACATGTCGTCTTTGTCATCTGCACTGTACAATATATACTCGGTCGTCAGCTTTCTGACGGAGAAAGTCACTCGTTTCAGGTCTTGTCTCGGCAGTGCAGGAACAGCGTAAGGATCGTCGACCGATGAATACAGCTTGGACTGAATGCGAGTGAGCCACGAAGTCGTTGACCCTGTTGAAGTGACGGATGGCGGCTTTTTGTGCGGCTTTTTCAAAATGCCCTTGTTGGTGGTCATTGCACGCTGGAAGTATTTTAAGAAAAAAGCAAAAGACCTGCACACTGACCCACGAAAGCTTGAAATCCCCGCCCTATTCGATCGTCACCGCAAACATTTTTTTTTCCTTATTGTTTATGCGACGAATCGCCACCATTATTGGAACTACCGGTGTCGGTAAGTCTCAACTCGGCGTTGAGCTATCCAAAGCCTTGCGTGGTCAGGTTATCAATGCCGACTCTATGCAGGTAAAATGGTGCACGCTTTTTCTATTAGCTTCATGGCATTTTAAACTTTAATTAGGTTTACAAGGGCCTCGATGTCATTACCAACAAAATGCCTATACACGAGCGTCAAGGAGTTCAACACCATTTGATGGACTTTTTGGAGCCTGAAGAAGAATACAAGGTGACCGAGTTCAAACACGACGCAACAGAGTGTGTATGTCTTCAGTCCCCATTACGCGTTTTATTTTTTTCAAGTCTAAACCTTAAACTCCCTTTTCCAGATTGAGAAATTATGCGCAAATCAACAATTCCCTGTGATTGTGGGTGGAACCAACTATTATATCCAGTCGTTGCTATGGCACAACATGTTGATCAAGGATCAGGATCCGGGATCTCCGGAACATTCGCCCGAGTTGGATAGTCTTGATACCGCAGAATTGCATCAACAGTTGGAAAAAATCGATCCAATCATGGCGAATCGATGGCATCCTTCAGATCGTCGAAAGATTTTGCGTAGTTTGCAGGTAACTGGGACCTTGTGCTGGATATGGCACTGATGCTAACTAGTGATTTCTAGATTTATTATCAGACCGGGCGGCCTCAAAGTGAAATCATTAAAGAACAGCAGGCTGAAAATGAAGCTAAAGGAGTGCAAGCAAGGTATGCTTACAAGTGGTCGAAGTGAGCTTGGTATTCACTGATCAGGTTCAAATCGTTGGTTTTCTGGTTATACGCCGATCCATTAAAGCTGAACCCTCGTTTGGATGAACGTGTGGACAAAATGATCGAGGTTGGTTTAGCGTGGTCATACTCATTTATCAATATATTAAAACACAGGTTAATTAGACAGGACTTTTCGACGAAATCAGATCATTGCGAAAACGAGTGGTGGATGGAAGCGTGCAATTGCCGGGACAGGACTTAGAAAAATACCAACGGGGCCTGTGGCAGGCCATTGGTTACAAGGAATTCGATCCGTACTTTGCCGCTATCGAAGAAAGTGATAAATCCGACCAAGGTATATATATCAACCAATCCCTTGTTGCATTTTGGACTAACAAATGGACAGATCTTGACAAAATCAAACAAGAGTGCACTGAACGAATGAAATCAGCAACGAGACGTTATGCAAAACGACAAGTTCAATGGATTCGAAACAAGCTATTACCGATGGTCAACAAGTCTGACGATGTAGATATCTATCTACTTGATGCAACCGGTAAGAAGAAAGCCTGAAATCGACCCATTATTTTCATGCTAAAGTGGATCGGGACTTAGATCTTGATGCGTGGGATACCAATGTCCGACAAAACGCGATCGAAATTGCACAATGTAAAAAAAAAATTACTTAATATCTCCAAACAATATTCAACTAACACACTATTTCTAGCTTTTCGAAAAGGTCAACCTTTACCAATACCTACATCACTTGGATCCATTGCTGAATCCATGTTATCACCATCCACATCTATCGAGTAAGTTTCTGATGATTTCGGTTTTTTTTCGGACATTAATTTTCAGGAGTAAAATAGTTCCCAGACTCGTATATTGACATGGCAAAAACATACCTGCACCGTATGTCGTACAAATACAGGTGACCCACTTGTTCTCCATGGTGATCTCCAATGGCAACAACATGTCGCTGGCCGAGCTCACCGGAAGTGTCTCAAACGCCGCAAAAATGACCTTGAATATGCCAAAAGGACCAAAACTCAAAATGCTGATGAATGATAAAAGTGTCTCCTCTCATGCAAAATATCGATGCTTACGCGGGGAGTCGAACCCCGGGCCTCCGGTTAACCTCTCTTTATGGGGGACCGGCATCTTAACCAACTAGACCACGCAAGCTCTGATAATTGCGGAGTTCCAAGTTAGAGAGATGTGGTAAGTGAGTCGGCAATTTATTTTAGTAAAGAAAAGCTTTATATAAATAAAGTACAATATACATTAATTAAAATATTGTATTACATTTTTACAAGTCTTTTTATTGGATGGTATTCAAAATTCTATTCAGAATAAAATAAACGATGTAACACAAAGATGTGCTACGATTGCATAACCAGTTTATACAAAATGGTATTTAAAACATTTATTTTATTTTATTACTATGGGTTATTCACCCCTATCATTGCCAGGGCTCTAAATACGGGCGGGCAGGCCCGTGGACCGCCCGTTTTGGCCCGGCATTTTCGGGCATCGGGCCAGGAAAGCTGTATGAAGGTGGGTGCCTGAACGGGCACGGTCCTATATAGCGGCCCGCCCGTCGGGCCACTGGCCCGACCGAGTGCCCGAATGTGAAGCATATGTATTTTCTTTATGAAACGTCCATCTAAATGGCCCTTGTTATATATGTAATTTGATTCTGTCAAAACCGTGTATTGCAAATAAAGATTAATCAACTAAGTATACATCTTTAATATGGAAAGATTTGTCAAAAGGTTGAGCAGTTTCTACAATGATCCGGTTACACAATGATTGGTGTTGATGGGCCAAGTTGCGACAATGAAAGGCTGCTACGTCAATTAGCACTATTCAAACTTCCTGCAGCACGCTAATCCGCAAATGTCTTAGAACTTGGATAGGATCGGTATTAGTGTGAAAAGGCTATGTGTTCAAGCAAAGATAATTTCCAGCTGGCATTGTGTAAGCAGAAGTAAAACGCGATGATAAAGTGGATCAGTATAATGATAGCTTTATTACACGAAAAAAAAGGACAACAATAGTGATTGAAAAGTGCCTCGACCATACAGATGCTTTATTACCGAAAAAAACCAACCTTTGGCTTACTAAAGGTGGTGCTTCGCAGAAAACCATTGGATAAAAAAAAAAGAGCTACGACAAGCATCCTTCTTCATCTTGAGTAGTGCGCTTGAAAAAGTGTACCTATTTGAAAAACAATAAGGGTGGCTGTGTATGCACCATTACAGTATGTACGCAGCCACCCTTTTTTGATTGGGATGCACAATGTCGAAATGGAATGGAGTGCCGGTAAAACAAAGCTGAGTCATATGGTAAAATTCAGTTGTATGGAAAATAAATATGGTCGAGTAGTACTGTATGTGGTGATTAAAAATTCGTTCTGAAGCAATATGGTCGACCTGAATTCCATTTGACGGGCATCGAGAGAAAAAACGTTGCTGAAAAAATGCAAAGCAGGATGCATTCCTACGCCATTTGCGATGTCGAATTGCTGGTTTGTCTCACTGTGTCGCTTTGGCTTTTTGTACTTCTTGGTCTTCCTTTGTTGCTTGCAGAAGTTCTGCTGTTTCAAAAAAGTGTGTGCAAGATAGCGATTACATGATCTAATACAATAAAGATGACTTTTGCCCAAACCTTATATACGATAACACAAGGCAGAACCCCATTTCACTTCTACATTAGTCATTGCTGCATTAAGATCGTTTACATTGTAGATTTCATCGGGCGGGCCACTTTAATTTGGGCTCTTGTAATTTCGGGTTCGGGCAAAAGACATGGCCCGTTTCGTTGGGCCCGACGGGCCACGGGCCACAGGTGTGGCCCGGCTGAACTGGCCCGATGCCCGTCGGGCATGGCCCGTTTAGAGCCCTAATCATTGCCAATTCCTCCCCTTTACTCTGCCATTGCCCATTCACCCGTGGCTCAAGGTATACTTTCCATATCTAGCTGATCTTCATCTCAGCGACACGAAAATTATGCAATCTGAAGATTATACGCAAGATCAGAGAACGTGCAGTATCGTTGGCTGGCAATGAGAGCTTCAATTGTTGGAATCCTGATTGAACCGATCACATACCCCATTCACTTTTTCTATCTGAAAAGGTCAATGATACAGTAAAAAGAAAAGCAATCTTTGTTGAACATGGTCAAATGATAAAAAAGGAAAAAGAAGTCGATTCGGCCAAGACATCTAAAAGAAGAGTACACACACTGGCGCGCTCACTCGATACCAGCCCAGTACTTCTCACTTCAATTACTAATCTATCGTTCTTCACTTTAATTACGATATGCTGAAATACTTAAGTTACTGTCGTATCCTGACATACCAGTCATCCATTGCCTACAGACCTTTCCATCTCAGCCTTTGTTACATCCGTTTCTTTATTTCGACATCAACAACCGCACAGTTATCTATTGGCCTGTTCACTGGCTTGTGTGTCAGTGAGACCTTGATCTGGGTTCAGACTTCAAGAAGGACCATTCACGTTAACTCAGTCTCTGCATGAATTATCCACTCCTTCGGAATAAGGCAGTATGGTCATTAGGGATTACGGCGATAACACGGATTTGGCTCTGATAGAAAAGCATTCACCTTCTCCGTCCCGACTCATCATCATTATAAATAGAGAGTAGTTCTCTTCAATAAAACATGATCTTATTTTTGGTCTCGTCATTTGAAGCTTTCCAATTGAGCGATACTACAGTTACTGTCCTTGTCAGTGTATCCACGGAAGCAAAAGGTATATAAGCCATACATTTGAACAGCGTAAATATTCAAGTACCATTCATGCATTTTTACTACTAAAACTTTCATGCTGCCCTTGTTCCATTAACCATGCTTGCCAAGTGGCTTGCGACACTGCAAATGCAACCACAGGCGGAAAGCAACCCTTTGAGATTGGGTGTAAGTACTTGAAGGAAAAAAAAAGTGAAGAAACTTACGTGCATTTATAGAACTTAACGCTTCTTATATCGTTAGTTCAGAAACTCAACCACAAGGTAGATCGCCTAGGTGATGACATTTTGTCTTTGGACTCATCTTTCTCGCTTCTCTGTGAGGTGGTACTTCGTTGTTAGTTTTTAGTTTTTTTTTTTTCTCTGTATTTCACATATTTTTTTATGTTTATATAACAGGTGGAAATGGAGTACCCTCCCCCCACCCCATAAATTTTTTTGGTTATGATGAATAAACACTATGTTGTGGGCGGAGAAACAATGTTTATAGGACTTGATTTTAGAGTTTATAGAGGGGGTAGTAAGGTTTATTTTCTTTCCAATTAGGAAACGTGGCACCGAGGCACCGTTTATTTTATTTTATTCGGGGCGAATAACGAATTTTGAATACCATCCAATAGTAGAAATATAAAGATAAACAGGAATCCTTTAAGACGTGAATTTATACTGGATATCAAATTTTATTCTACTATTTATTTAGTAAGGCTTATTGTATCCAATATGAACCCACCTTAAGTTAAAAAAGCTAGGGTTCTAAACGGGCCATGTCTTTTGCCTGAACCTAAAATTACAAGAGCCCAAATTAAAATAGCCTGCCTGATGAAATCTACAATATAAATGATCTTAATGCAGCAATGACTAATGTAGAAGTGAAATGGGGTTCTGCCTTGTGTTATCGTATTGTCGTATCCCACACCTTCCCACAGAGAATGCCTTCTTGTTTCAGTCTCAGACACATCCATTCTATTCGTTCTTTCGACGGCACCAACCGTACGTCATCCATTGGTCCAGTTTCTGCCTGTGGTGAACCACTACATGTATGCACACAATGGAGATCGGTCAAACATCCATTCTAGCACATTCCATCAGACGAACACTCTGGAAGAGTACTGATGACTAAGATATGAACGGTATTACCTTACACCGGTTTCAAGGAAGCTGAATGATGTTCTACAGGACATGCACCTATCACAGAGTGCACGGAGTCGATATCTGCCGTCGTCGGTAAAACATAAGACGAACACGCAACCCAATACGTCCTTGACCAAGTATCATTTATCCAGGAACAGATATTAGAATCCCCAGTAAAAGATATAAAAGAGAGAGAGTTCATCCATAATAAAGGACATACAATTATTCAGATTCTCAACGAATTCTATTCTTGTTACCAATTCTATTTCTTATAACTCTCTCACCACACTGCCAACATCTGTCCGAAACCACTTTGATCTAGATTAGGACATCAAAGGACTCATCGAGTTTACCCGAAATATGGATAAGTTACTTAACAGGACGCTCATCCTATATCGCCGCCTAGGCTTCTCCAATATACCCGAATACTTGTACCCGACTCGATACTCGGTATGACGAGTCAGGTACGAGTCGACAGATACTCGACTCGTTGTGTTTTCGAGTTTTTTTTGAAATACCCGACTCGACTCGGCTAGTTATATGTACAAGATAATACATAGGAGGCGGATGTATCCGGTGTAGTGAGAGAGTTATTAGAGATAGAATAGGTAACAAGAATAGAATTCATTGAGAATCTGAATAATTTTCCCTTTATTATGGATGAACTCTCTCTCTTTTATATCTTTTACTGGAGATTCTAATATCCGTTCCTGGATAAATGATACTTGGTCGAGGACGTATTGGGTTGCGTGTTCGTCTTATGTTTTACCGAAGACGGCAGATATCGACTCCGTGTACTCTGTAATAGGTGCATGTCCTGTAGAACATCATTCAGCTTCCTTGAAACCGGTGTAAGGCAATACCGTTCATATCTTAGTCATCAATACTCTTCCAGAATGTTGAATAGATATTTGACCGATCTCCATTATGTGCATACATATAGTGATTCACCACAAATACTCAGCCAATCAGGTTACTCATCCACATAACCTTCTAGTTAATGTAACTATCTCTTTTGTGGTATCCAAGGACTAAGTCCGATAAAGAAGTCCAAATCGAGAATACGTCACCTATGTGGTACCAAATTCGTTAGCATCGATGTTGTATCCACAACATGTTTATGGCTTATGCATCATTCACTCTTGTTGCTTATTGACAACGGGTTACTTTGATTTTCCGATCTACAGCGACATCTCTATCTTGATATGCATTTATCGTAATAACCTTGCATATCTTAATGAAACCCACATAACTGTCATGACCGATTAGGTTATAGCAACATT